TAGCTTTATCGAATGACATGCTACTTGGAAATGCTACAGGAAAGGATTGCGGATTCTTCTTTTGCCCAAGTAATGGGATTGATTGAGATACTGATGCACATATATACATGTATATGTTTAATTAGGATCAGAAACTCCTATATCAAAAGAGGAGATAAATAGAATTTGACCGACTAAGTGTGTGAATATAATGAGCAAGCTGGCAAGCAGTTACATTTACGGTCCAGCTGTCAAATCCATGAACAAGGGCGGTGTTTAGAGAAAAATTACCTCGTCAATGCGATACACTCAGAAGAGTAGCACACTTTCAAGCTATGCCCACGTTTTTCCGAACTGAGGTTTAATGTAGGGAGGCGAATTGCTGGGACCTTTTGTACTCAGCGAGTAAGTTGCACAATCGACATGGCTTTTCTGTGAAGCGTTCAAATTCTTGATCCAAAGTGTTCCTGTTTTTTCGAACCCTTCAAATCTTTTTTGAAAGGTGGCCTCGTTGGACATAAGTTTTTTGCTGATCATCGAAAACGACGTCCTTCTCAGGAGTTTTTGTTGCAAGACAATTCCAAGAAAATGGTCCGAACAATACTAAAACTTTTCAGAAGCTAGCTTTAATATAATAGAGCAAATCCAAGCAATTTTCTGTGATGTGTCGCTTTCGATTGCATTCAGCTTCTGAGTCCTTGGATCTGAATGCTCTGTTGAGAATTATAGTTTATTCTGTTACTACTTGGCTTGCATGGCGAGTTGCTGAAAAGCATCTCTACCAGCGTTATCATTTGAATAGCATATGTACGAAAAACGTCTTGTCGTTCCGAGGCAATGCAGTGGCATAGCCCTGTCAGTTTGTATATAGTATGTTTAAGGTACTTCTCAAACGTGGGATGTACTTTCTTGAATGTGGAATGTAACCTGGGGAATACATTATGTCTGGTTTCCTCATATGGCCAGCATTTCTTGAACTCTCCATCACCTGGAAGTCATTGCGCTTAAGCCATTCTCTTTTTCAGTAGCCAATTCTATAAGCACGCCATGAATAGGCTTGACCAGTGCCAACAGCTTTACCTCGATTACCTCGATTTACCCTGTATCGACTATGGAGCGCCGCTGAGAAAGGATTTGTCTTAAAAAAACTGAATTGGGGGTGACCATTAGTATTAGTTCGGGCACATTTTTCAGCAAATATTTTCAGTCATAACATTCCCTTTGCAGTTGGCAGGATTGACTTCAATCAACTTTGGGAGAAATTCGCTATCGTGGATGATCTTGTTATGCGATTACTAACACCACATTCTTAATCTGAAACTGATCGAAGAGTAATTCCTCCCACTTTTGGTGAACCCGCACTCAAGCAGGGTCCCTCAAGCTTGTTAGAGAACCATCAATCTGTCACCTTCCTCAATGAAAATTGGCTCTTCTTCCAGATGACTGCCTTATGGTTCTGTTATGGTCTACTGATTATTGGGATTCTGTACTATGTCAGTTACGATGTATTCGTTGGAGAAATGAATAGCAGTATAGTTATGGAGAACAATAAAACGATTGCGAGCGTTGTGGAAAACAACAAAACGTTTGCGACCACCGTGAAATCCAATGGTGAGGAGAACAACAAAACGGTCGCCACCACAGTGAAACCCAATGGTGAGCAGTCCGTCAAGATCCATTCATTCAATATGTACTAATTTCCCTCATTTTCCACATTCAGATACCTCAACCAGTTCAATTCCGTTGAAATTTGGTGAGTTCATTGGAACCACTTGTGTTTTTAATTACCACTGAGGAAGAAACGATAGTAAAGTAGACCTGTACTTTGATGGCATTGATATAGAGATAATTCTCACTCTTTTCTATCATACGCTCGTTTTGTTCGAAAACTTGTCGTCCTTATTTGGAGCTAGCACTTTCATTCCTCCTTGACCATTCAATCTTCATTTCGGAAACATTCGCGTATATCAGAGGTTTTTCGAGTTACGGATGCTTGAAGATATATGTAGATGATCATTAGTTATCAAAACTGTTCCTTAGTGTTGGCAGCCCAAGTTCGCTTAGAGTAAGCTTGATCCGTAGGCCATGCAGATGACGACGAAGCTGCATTACGTTATCTTCACCATTCTAACCTATTTCATAGCATTTGTTGTTCACTCGTTCAAGATTCAACTAAGGCGGTAGGGTGACAAGTTCGACTACTTTAGTTATAGTAAAAAAATCAACCCACCAACCGGGGCGAGTAAGCAGATATCGCCATGGGATGTTATTCTCAGTTTAGCTTATACAAGAAGCATTTTGGAGTAGAACCTGTGTCCTCGCTGTTACTCACCCCGGTTGTCCCATGCAGTCTACTTCCATTCAGTGTGGTAGCAACTTTTTGTATGCTTGAGAGGCTTTTACGGTGTGTTGCGATGGGCAATCGGTGTCAAGGACTAGGCTGTTTCATACCATACAGTTTTGGTGCCCATATGCCCATCCCGAGGAGATGAAGGGATTCGCATTGGGCGAAGATCGATCTCTATACGTGAGTGATAATGCGTCCCTCACCCGGCACATGATGAATTATGAGGAGTACATTCCCCGAACAGTAATAGGCTTCCCGGTTACGGCTACCCAGGCATTATGTATAGTCGATTCCATCTTGGTACTACCGGTATTGCAGTCGCTCATTTGTCTCGATTGTCAAACTTCTCTCGCATGGATAGGCTAGCCTTTTAAAGTTTTTTTCGACAGCCCGTCGTCATCGCCTCCTTNGCCCCATGCAGTCTACTTCCATTCAGAAGGGTAGCAACTTTTTGAATACTTGAGCGTGTGTTGCGATGGGAAATCGGTGTCAAGGACTAGGCTGTTCCATTCCATACAGTTTTGGTGCCCATAAGCCCATCCCGAGGAGATGAAATTATTCGTATTGGGCGAAGGTAGATCTCTGGAGTATACGTGAGTGATAATGCGTCCCTCACCCGGCACATGATGAATTATGAGGAATACATTCCCCGATGAACAGTACTGGGCTTCCCGGTTACGGCTACCCAGGCATTATGCATAGTCGATTCCATCTTGGTAGTACCGGTATTGCAGTCGCTCATTTCTAAATGGGCGCTCGATTGTCAAACTTCTCTCGCCTGGATAGGCTAGCCTTTTGAAGTTTTTCTGGACAGCCCGTCGTCATCGCCTCCTTTTAACCAACAATTCTTAGAAAAGTTTAAGCAAAACTGAGTGACTAAGGTGACCGCTAGACTGATTTTAGAAAGACTCAAGCTAACACGCTCTTCCACTCGAAGCTAAAGGGAACAGCATTACTCTGCACTCTTTACCACATTTCTGCTCAGAAACGTCGACCCTTGGAATGAAAACTAACAAACCCAACAGGACAACTGACATATTCGACTATTGCCCCTTCCAGCCACCCGATCCATGGGACAAGTCGATACTGCAACACATGGATGTGAAATACGGTTACTTGAAGGTGAGTCGAACTTCACTCCTCCTTCCTACTCGAGGATGGTAATAGAGGATATCTGCAAAGGTTTGAAGCATTATAGGATTGTAAACCAGACGAAAAGCTATCGCCAGTTACGGAAATTCATCAGGGGAAGGTGGTACTTGCAAAAGGAAAAGGAGGTTTCACTTGTCAGGGGCGGTTCGTTTGTCTTATATTATCTATTTACAGTAGACACTTCAATATTACTGAAACAATTTCACTCAGTTCTATAGATCCCAAAGCACTTTAGTACCATCATGGCTCATAGTCAGGGCATCAAATACGCTGACGACACTCTCATGAATATGCAATAATCATAAACCCATAGAAGACTTGGATAGTCTAGCATATGGTTCACTGCAGTGCCACTATAATGGCAATTCTATGCGATCTCACACGGACAGGGGATTGGGGAAGTCCTGCTGACCAAAATCTGACCAAGCATTCAAATATGTAGCCACCGTGAGGCCCATGGGAGGTTCTCGGAATAAAACCTTCAGCAGCTTAAAGGCAGAGTTCACGATACAAATGGTTTCTAAGATTCCCCCACAGGCTGAATTTGAGACCCCCGCGTATACCATATCTGGCACTATTAGGTCGGAAAACGGTCACTTAGTGAGCTATAAAGGCTCAAAGATTGGCCCGTGTGTATCCTCGGACGAGTTTCACCGGCACTGCAGAGGCTGCCCGGTCACAAAGGAAACCACGTAGGAAGTTCAAACAACTTGTCATGACCCGTAGCGACAGTGAAAGACAGTTCTGTACAGTTCTGGCTTGAAGTAGTCAGCTCTTCGTGCCTTTGTGCAACTGCAATAACTGAAATCTCGTCCTAATACACCTTCCATGTTATTTAAGTCATGGCAATTTCGTCCGAACTCTATTTTCCCTACTTTTGAGAGACCATATTTTTCTCGAAATTAGCGAATTCTCTCCCTTTCTTCACTGCCGATGAACTACTCCCGATCTATACTCCGCTTTTCGAATGAAAACAGATATCTTAAAATTATCGTGAACTGTGCCTTTAAGAACGAAGCTTACATAGAAAAGTGGAAAAAGGTAGGTAGTTGCCAGTGCTCAGTGTTTATAACTTGAATTGTAGGTAACATAGCAAGTATACCATTTGAAAAAGTAAATGTTCAGCATTATTCGAGGTCAGTCTCAATGTCGGTCGAACTATAGACCATCACATGAGCATGCTGCCTTTGCGAATGGTGCAGCCTTTACAATGCCGTTAAAACTCGTCCACCCATTCACACGGACAATCTTTTAGCTTTTATGACGCTATATATAGACCGTCTTCCGACCTGATAGCACAACATATGGTGTACGAGGAAGCCACAGATTTATCCCAGCGGATATTTAATAAGCCATTTTCAAATTTTCAACAGTGCAAGAACAGCAACAAATGATCGTCCAGAAATCTGCATTCATGCAAATCATTCCTGGGTTACTATGGCATTTTCACTACAGAAATAAAGCCTTTAGGCTGTACTTATAGACAGGACAGGAAACTACAGTAACTCAGTTCTTATTCAGCTGTATCGACTATGACGGTGACAACAGTTACAAACTCAGCAACTGGACTCCGATTGACCGCTCGGTATTCGAATGTGACTTTGTTGAGACGGAATGCAGATTAAAAAATGAAACCAAGCGATATATCCATATACAAGTAGCGGAGCAAAAGTGAGGCTTTTATCATTCAAAAAATAGCCAGTAGATACCTCAATTGAGCTACATTTGATACCGTTATGAGCCATTTCTTCAAAATCCGATCCAAATTGATGGATCATTCGGTTGCGTTGCTCTTGCATTTGATGACTTGGGATGAAGTTGTTGTTTCTTTCCTCGAACGTGTTTTTGTCTAAAATCAACCATTAAGAGTTAGAAGGTTTAAGTCATAGTGAACGTCTACTACTGTTTGATGTGTGGGATGAGAACGATGAACTCTTCATGAAAAATAATGGGAAGTGGCCGTGCCTGATAGGAGCTAATTCGTTTTGAACCAAGTACGAAAAGAAGTTCAGGTCGGAAACGAAGACTCGTCTCAACCCCGAGGTCAATCCTGACGTTGTGCTGCTGGTGATTGACTCTGTGGCATCTACACAACTGATAAGGTACGTCACAAAGACTGTTGCATTGCGCTTCATAGGAAAGTCCTTGAATGGCGTATGGAATTCCTGGGGTAGACAATACTAGTTCTGGGAACTTCCCACTTTTGAAGAGAGGTGGGGAAGACTGTTGAGAGGATTCTCATGCTATACATCAATGATACGTTCAGAAACTATCGTTTTCCTGTGCTCTTCTCACTACTATTTTTTATCCTCTAAGTAGGATGCTCGGGAAGACAGACAGCGTAAAGGATGTAACCTAGTAGTGCCCTGAACAGAGGGAAAACGATAGTTCCGGGCGGTATCGAAGCCGTATGACATGAGAATCTTCCCAACATTGGACCCTGTCTCAAACCTGATAGGCTAGAGTACAGACACACGTGAACACCTAGCGGCTCCCCTATAAAGAAGAAACCCCGAGAAACCAAGGGATACTCGCATTTATTTCGTTAGGCTGTGAAAATTTTTCCTTAAGTCCTAGAACACTTACTATTCGGCTAACATTTTTCCCTCGTACTCAACCTATTGGGCGTGCTATAGACAGTAGGTATCGCTTGACGTAAGGGTTTTCAGAACACCAATTGGCAAATCTCCTTCTCACACCAATTTTTCAGAGCTCTTCCCAGGACAGTTAATTTTCTTCTACATGGAATGGATGCCATAGAATTCCGTAAATTCAACAAGGTCGGATCGAACAGTAGACCAAATGCATTTGCAGCTTTGGTTGGTAAGTATTGGAATCCGGAGCTCTTCCTTTTGGAGAAGGACACCTTTGAAACTGCCCTAAACCCTAGTCGACCTTCCACTTGTTAGGTTATCTGGGGTACGTAGTCGAAGCATTTAACATTTTCTGACTGGTGCCTTCACAGTCGGAAACTCATTTCCTAAAAAAACCGCAAAGAGACCTCAGCTCCCCTACCTTCTAGAAAGCTTAGGTTTTTCTCGTCGCTAATAATTGTGCTACGTCTGCCTTGGAGCTGTAGGAATCTGCAGAAGCTATGATGTATAAGTGATAGGCCCAATTTTAGTTGATAATAAGGAGCTTTAAAGAGCTTTTTGTTTTTTAAAAAATAAAAATGTTATGATTATAAAAGCCCGAGTGTCTTGACGATCCTATTCACTCATCTAATCGTGCCTGGCCTAGGAAAGACCACGGAAGCAGTAGTTAGGAAGCCAATGAATTTGCCTACGATACCAGCTGACTTATCCTATGACCAGTACTGCGGACACTATCTCGACAATGAAGCCTACATTCCACTAATGTATAAGAAGGCTGGCTATAAGGTAGGATTCTGAGCCGAACTGAAGTCAGACAATGAAAGAATGTTGGTGGCAAAAAGTGATATTACAGATGTGCGGAGTAGAGGATTATGTTACGAGTATTTTGAATTATCCCAATTGTTATGGAACGAAGGAAAGACAATTTCAACACTCGTATAGGTATGAAAAACAGTTTTTCATTCTCAAATTCACTTCAGAATGTACTTTTCAAAAATTGGGAGCAACAGCGGATATCACTATGCATGGGGTGACGGTCAAGTCGTGCGTCCGAGGGTGCGCGCGGCAAATTGCGCGGCGAAACCCATACCTATTCTGACGACTTTGGCGCCTATTATTTGGGCCCAATTTCGAAGTACAGTAGAATAGTAGAA